AAATTTGATATGTCTTGCTGCATCCATCTAATAAGCAATCAGGAAAGTGAACATGTATGACCATGCAATTCAACATGGTGTCCAGCGAAATCCATGTTTCGAAAAAGGACCGCCTCGTACAACTGTTGCACATGTGTACACTTGTTACCATGAAAGTCGCAGAAGTCTCGAGCGACAGCCCCGCTGTGAAAAAGGTACCGCCCTCTATCCTTGCAGCTGCTACGTCAGTTGAAACACCTGGCCTTTACCTGTACGGAAGTCTCCAGCGAAAGCCCCATCTTGAAAAGGAACCGTCCTCCACCCCTGGAACAGCTGCAAGCTCATAAGGCCAATGCGCGCGGTGCCAAGACGAGGGCCCCATTTCGAAAAGGAGTCGCATTGCACCCCTATAACGGCTGCAAGCCCTGAAGGCCAATGTGCGCGGCGCCAAGTCGAGGGCCCCACTTCGAGAAGGAAGCGCCCTCCATAAGGTCAACGTGCACGGCGCCAAGACGAGAGCCCCCTTTCGAAAAGGAGTCACCCTGCGCCCCTGTAGCTGCTGCTGCAAGCGTTTTAAGAGAAAGGCGCGCGATGCCAGGGCGAGAGCCCCATCGGGACACGGAGCTGCCCTCCCTCCGCGCAGCTGCTAGACGTGTTGAAGCCGATGGCCTCTAGTGCAGGGAGGCCTCTGGCGAGAACACAGCCGTGAAAAGGAAGCGCCCTCTGGCCCTGCACCTTCTGCAGGCTCTTGAGGCCAAGGTGCGCAGCGCCGCGGCGAGAGCCTCGGTATGAGAGGGAGCCGCCCTCCATCCTGGCAGCTGTTGCAAGCGCTTGAGGAGACCATCGTGCGCGGCGCTAGGGCGAGAGCCCCACTGAAAATCACCAGTGCTCCGTCCGCATTGCTAGTGCGGAATTCAAGCTTCAGGGTCACAGGGGCGCGACAGGGGGGAAGTTTCTAAAGGAAGGGGGGTATAGAAGGAGCAGGGGGATGAGGTGGCGGAGGCGTAGCAGGAGCAGGAGAAGGAGGAGGAGGAGCAGCAGGAGGAGGAGGAGGAGCAGGATCAGAACAAGGAGCAGTAGCAGCAGGATCAGGACGGCGAGCAGGAGGAGCAGGAGCGGGAGGACTACGAGGACGACGTCGGCGGCTGGGCCCCCTGCCATGCAGGCGGACATCGCCTTGAGGCCCATCAGCTTCCGGTCGTCATGCCCAGGCTCCGAGGCCCAGCACAAGAAGTTCACGACGTCCTGTGCCCCGCCCCCGCCTGTCCGCCCTGACAGCGAGAATGGTCCCGATCACGAGACGGGCTAGGGTCAGGTTGCTCGGCACGTGCTGCCCCGTCATGTTTCTATATGTCTTAGGGGGGCGAGGCCAGCGAATGTCGTGCGGATGCGGCTTCTCACTATTTCTATTGGTGGGTGGGTTGCACACAGCGAGTTGTTGCCAGACAAGCCCCGTGATTTCTATGCAGGCTGGTTTTGTCAGAACGCAAACTCCCAAACCAGTCCCACGGTTCGCTGTCTCGGGTTCCGTCGCTTCACGTTTTGCTAGAACGCAGATTCCCGAGCCAGTGCAGGTGGGCGCTGACTCGGGTCTGGTCGCTCCACGTTTTGCTTCGCCTGGGGTGGGTACTTCCAGCGTTCGACCTGTGTCCAGCTTCACTATTTCCATGACTGTGTGGGTTGCACACGGCGAGCTGTTGCCAAATGTGGTCTAACTATTCCCAGTATTTCCACATGATGGTGGCGTTTGTGTTGGAGGCGGAGTAGGGGCTGGGCCACATGCGGACTTGAGAGTAAGTGCCTCCCAGTTCCTGGGGCTGGGCTCGATGCAGTCTCGTCGAGAGAGCATCCCAGTCCCCGACGCTGGGCTCGATGCAGTCTCGCGCGGCGAGGGCATCCCAGTGTCTGCGCGTCCGCACGCTGGCGGCGCGCGAGCGGTGATCTGCTATTGTGGGTTGGTGTTTAACCAGCGCCGCCGCTTTCCGCCAGTTGTGCTTCTCCTCCCGCGTCGTGGCGCTGCTCTCTGGCGTCACGCTGGGTGTGCTGGACGAGCCCTTCCTCGCCTGGGCCTGCCTGGAGATGGCGGGCACAGGGCCTGCCGCAGGCCCCGTGCTCCCGCTACCCGCGGCCGGGGCGGCCGCTTTCCCCAGCGCTCACAGGCCCCTTTCCCCCACAGGCCTGGACCTTGCAGAGCGGACGGCTGCGGGCCCCGCCCCTCAAGACCTGGGCCCTGGGGGTAGAGGGGGCTTGTGAGCGTTTCTGCCCCTCGGGCGGGCCGAACCCTGCTGCCTCTCGGCTTCTTCGCGCTCGCTCGCGCCTCCCCTTAGAAATACCCCTCCTCCTCTCCCTTCCTCCCGATCGGTTCGCGCACACATAAACCTGACCTGTTCGGCCTGCTCCTCCTCCCCCCAAACCAGATCCCGTCCTCGCCAGCTCCCCGTCCCCCTCCCTCCTCCCACGTCCCCTCCCAATCTGCCTCTTCACGTCGCCCTGTCCACTTCCGCCTCCCCCCCCCATTCGCTTCATCCTTCGTCTACCCTCCTCGTCGCCGTCATCCCCGTCACTCCACCGTGGTCCTCGTCCTCATCGGTGTCGCACTCCGCCTCCCACCTCGTCTTTGTCCTTGTCCTCCTCCTCCTCCTCCTCCTCCTCCTCCTCCTCCTCCTCCTCCTCCTCCTCCTCCTCCTCCTCCTCCTCCTCCTCCGCTTCCGTTCTTTTTCCTTGTAAGCAACTTCCCCCTGTCGCACCCCGAGGCCAGCTTTTAGGGCGGTCCGGGCGTTTCGCCTGAGACTTCTTCACCATTTATGACTCTGAAGCATAAGAATTGGCAACATCTTCACTGATTGAGGGCGGGTCGTTTTCAAAATGTGGCTCTCGCCCTAGCGCGGCGCACATTCGTTTAAAAAACTGTAAGAGCTTCACAAATTGAGGGCGGCTCCTTTTCAAAATGTCGCTCTCGCCTTGGCGCCACGCACATTCGTTTCAAAAATTTGCAAGAGTTCCACGGATTCCCATCATCCACGTACCAGCAGTTATGTTTCGGAAGGATTCAGCATTATGCGGGTGCAACAGTTACGTTGATTCTCTGTGTTGAAGTCCTAGGGATGGCGTTCTGGCACGATTCCGGATCGTCAAGACGCAACAATCAGGTTGATCCGTGGCGTCGGAATCCCGAGAACAACGTTTTGGCATGCTTCAGAATCTTCAAACGGGTGTCTTCCAATGAGGCAGTTCCATCAATGGACATAAACCGTTGTAGGGGCCTATGAAGAGGGAGCTTAGAGGGAGGGTTTACTCCAACATCGTTGATGGTTCTTGGGTTGACACTGGTCCTCCTCCTTCTCCTCGTCCTCCTCCTTCTCCTCCTCCTCCTCCTCCTCCTCCTCCTCCTCCTCCTCCTCCTCCTCCTCCTCCTCCTTCTTTCATCCTCAGCATGACCATCGTCATCGCCATCGCCATCGCCATTATCACCATCATCAGAGTATCCGTCTCTTCTCTTTCCTCTTCCTCTACTCGTACTCCTTATTATCTCCCATTTCCTCATCATCCTGCTTCTCCTCCTGATCATCCTCCTCCTCTTCCGCCATCACCATCCCTGTCCCTCGACCCCATCCTAGTCACCTCACCATTCCTGTTCCCCTTCTCCGTTCCCCTTCCTACCTCGCCTTCCCCCCGTTCCCCGTACCCCGTCCCCCGAAGAAGGGCGTCAGGCGGGTGGACGCCTCAGATGGCCTCGAAGGGTCCACGGGGCCCCGAAGAGAGCCAAAGCGGCCCAATAGCTTAGGAGGCGTGCCTCCGACTTCCCCACGCTTGCCCCCCTCTCCCTCCCCAACCCTTCCCTCCACCATCTTCATTATCCTTTTCCATCCCACCTCACCCCTCCTCCAGGGCCCAAAGCCTCCTAAATGCAGGCGTCGACGGCCACATTGGATAGACGAAAAAACAAGTTGGGAGGTTATGGACCATCTGGTCGCCCCACCCGACCTGCAGCGTCGTGATTTACTTTTTCATGGCAACGCAGGCCCTGGAGTTCTCGACCGCATCCCGGGGACCAGCTTTGCATCTCGGGCCGTCTTCTGTGTTGGCCCCGGGGCCTTAAAGCTGCTTCTGGGCAACCAAATTGAAATAGGCGCAAAACACGCGCACCCGTTTGCGATGCCTGGAGGCCTGGGGACAACAAAGACGACGACGACGACGACGACAACGACGACGACGACGACAACGACGACGACGACGACGACGACGACGACGACGACCTCCCGTTCCTCCACTGGCAACCTCCGAAAACATCCGAAATCCCTCACAGACTGAAAGCCTCCGATCACATCCGAAACGCGACGCTCGATCGAACCACGACCCCTGCCACCACTACCAAGTCGGTCGAGACGGGGGCACGGCACAGGGGACGTCCGCGAACCAGCTCTTGCACCGGGCTCTCCCTGGCGCCCCTCCCAGCGAGAGGGGCGCTCCCCCGACGGCGGCGCCGAAACCCGCTGCACGAGGCAAACTTCACGGACACCCCCCCTCAATCCCGCCCCGTCGTCCGATGCGCCACCCGCGCTTCTCCGCCACCGCCTGCCCACCCCCGGGCCGACCCGTCCTTGCACATCTGGGACTTGGTGGCCGGCGTGCCGTCCTGGCGGCAGGGGGCGCTGAACGACAAGGAGGGAGAGAGAAGGAGGGGAGATCTCCCTGCCCCCTTCCCTGGAGAGCTTCCTACCCCCCACAGGAAGAACCTCCTCAACCGCCCCTCATCCTTCATCTGTCCTCCCCCCCTCCCCCCGCGCCCCTGCTCCTGATGATACCGCTGCTGTTGACGACGACTCTGCGAAACAAGTACACATAAAAGAAGATATAGATCTATTCCCCAAACCGTGTTTGCTTTTGGGGGCTCTTACTCTGTTCAAAACACTGGGCCGTATCGTCGGTCTGGCGGCTATGCGGTCGCCGTCGCCGCCCCTTCGTCGCGTCGTCGCCGCAAATCGTCTGGGCCGCGTCTTCAATCTGGCGGCTATGTGGCCGCCCTCTCGCCGCCCCGTCGCCGCCTCGTCGCCGCCCATTGTTTGGGCCTGATCATCGGTCTGACACCTATATGATCGCCATCGCCAAACCGTCGCCGCCTCACATGGATTGCACCACATACATCGCACCACATATATTCTCTCTTCCAAAAGGGAATAGGATCCACCACGCTCCCGAAGCAGGACTTATTGACCCCCCCCTGGCCATGTGCAATTAACATATGAATATGCCCCATCGCCCATCCGAATTATGAACGCAGACCATCCCAACGCAACCGATATTGACCCCCCGTCATCTTCTGCAAACAACACTATGCGTGCACACACTCGTTTATCAAGAACCATCAGTTTAGAAGAACCCCTTGCAAAAACAAACACGAAGTGCACATGCCGAATCCTTCAAAACCGAATCCTTCAAGAACCCTACGTTGCGTAAGGATTTCAAAACCGAGTGTCGAAAAAATAGTGTCGCCACACGGGCTTTCAACAAAAAGTTCGCGCGCGCTTGTTGACAAAATCTTAACAAAACCCTGATGTTTCCACATGTCCATCAAAGTATACCAGACGGCCTTCGCGCGCGCATGTCGAAATCGTTCGAACGCCCTTGCGCGCATGCTGTCGCGAAAATCAATTGCAAACAAAAGGACGAAGTGCACGCGCGCGCGTCGTCGCGCGCGCATGCCGAAATCCGTCAAAAACCTTAGGTGCCGTTGAAATGTCAAAACCTAATGTCCCGAAACCATATAGAAACATATGGTTCGCAACATCAGTTGTCAACAAAGCTTGCGAGGAACAAATTCATCAAATGCTGCCAAATGGGCTTTTCGCACCGCGCGCCGAAATCATTCGAACGCCCTTGCGCGCGCGCTGGGAGGGCACGATCCGTGTCAAATAACACCATGCGGGCCACTCTCGCCCGTCGGTCGTGCGCGAATGTCGAACTCCTTCCAAAACCTTCATCACCGACGCGAGGACGCCGTCATCGCCGCTGGCGTGATTCGCATCGGCGCCGTTACTGGCCGTGCCGTCGTCGCTGTCAACATCGTCACCAGCATCGCTACTATCATCATCGTGTCTAACTTTGTCAACGTTGCGATGTTACCGCGCACGCCCAAGTTGCCGACTCGCACCGAAGTGCCCGCTGGGATGCGCCCAGCGGTCAGCGCCACCGCGGCCGCGTCGGTCGCGCCAGACTAGCTGGCCGCTGCGCGCGCAAGCATGCGCGGGCTCGCGCGGCCGCAGAAATGCACCAGCCAACACCCAGCACTCATCGCAATCGCCGCCGCATGGGTTTCGCAAGCCAAGTTACGGGTGGGCGGGTGAGATGATTGCGCGAGCAAGGGAGTTGACAACTCCAAAGTGTCCACCAGAATTGCACCACGTAGATTCCCCGCCCTAAAAACACTAGGATCTACCCCCCCCCTGGGTTAACGATCCACCGTTTCGCATTGCAGTGTACACACGGTTCGGACCCATCGTCCATCCGAAATACGAATCCAAACCGTCCCAGCCCAACCGGAGTTCGCCCTTATCTCGTCCTCTGCAAAATATACTATGCGCGCAACCTCGTTTTTCAAAAATCTGCAATTTCCAAAAATACATTGGGCAAAAATATTTGCATCTATACGCATGTAGATATAGATATATACACATACATACATATATGTGCAAATGTATGTGCAAATGTATGAATACATACATACTCAATTGCACACGCACGCGTTGCCGCGCGAATGACGAAACATAGATGTTTACATATGATGTATATTGAAACAACAAAAAACAGCGCCGCGTAGACTCGTCTTAAACATTCGACAGATGCGCGGGCTGGCGCGGTCGCACAGACGCACCAGCCAGCGCCAAGTGCTTATCGCAATCGCCGCCGCGTGGGTTTTGCAAACCAGGTTGCGGGTGGGTGGGTGGGATGTTTACCAGAGCATGGGATGTGTCAACTCGTTTGCTTAAATCGGTTGCACCACATTAAGTGTACCACAAAGATCGCGACCCATAGCTTGCACTATATAGTGGTTCTTTTCTTGCAAAGCCTTCGGATCGACCCCCGAACCCCCGGGACTTGACATTCAGTTTTTTGTTGTGCTACAACTTGCATACTATTCGGCCCCATCGCCCATCCGAAATATGAACCCGTTCCATCCTAAGAAATCCTTTTTATCGTTCCCCCCCTTATTCCTCTGCAAAAGAACTGTGCGCGCACACTCGTCCATCAACAATCACCTATGTTCACACGCGCGCAAAGCCGAGCGCGCACATGCCGGATTTATTCCAAAAGCATTGGCTCTGTCAGGAAGTCAACATCGTGTGCCCCGGTAACATGTCTTGCCTTTTGAAAAACGCGTCCGGACAATTCCCCCCCTCCCCCAAAAAAAAACGCCGAAACTTTCGCATGATTGCGAATTCTTCTTTTTAACCACGCGTTGCCCATCCAATTATACCTAACGTGGTTACCGCGCGCGCGTGTCGGAATCGTTCGAACGCCCTTGCGCGCGTGCTGTCGCAAGAACCCTATGTAAGAAATGGGACGAAGTGCACACGCGCGCGCCGTCGCTCGCACCATCACCGCTACTAGCATAATCGTGTCTACCGCAGTCGACGTCGACATCATACCGCGCACGCCCAAGTTGCCGACTCGCACTGAAGTGCTCGCTGGGATGTACCCAGCAATCAGCGCCACCGCGGCCGCGTCGGTCGCGCCAAACTAGCTGGCCGCTGCGCGCGCAAGCACGCGCGGCCGCAGAAATGCACCAGCCAACAAGCACTCATCGTAATCGCCGCAGCATGGGTTTTGCAAGCCAAGTTACGGGTGGGCGGGTGAGATGATTGCGCGAGCAAGGGAGTAGACAACTCCAAAGTTTCCCACACACACACACACAAACAAAAAAAAAAAAAAAAACTAATTCCCTCCTTCCTTTAAAAAAAATACTCGGATCTACCCACCCCCGGGTTGACGATCCACCGCTTCGCATTGCAATGTACACACGATTTTGCCCCATCGCCCATCCTAAGTGCGAATCCAAACCATCCCAGCCCAACCGGAGTTCGCCCCCCTCTCATCCTCTGCAGAATATACTATGCGCGCACATTCGGTTCTCAAAAGTCATCAGTGCTCAAGAATACCTTGGAAAAGACATCAGACGAAGTGCACACGCACGCGTCGTAGCGCGCATGACGAAATATGTTTATGTATAGTTTTTTGCATACTTGAGTTTAGTTTGTTTTTTAATTGTTATGTTGTACCCAAAAAATCTTATTGAACATTCGCAGCAGTGTCACGGATTTGGGGCGGGCCGTTTTCTGAATGTGGCTCTCGCTTCAGCGCCGCACACATTCGTCTTCAAAATGCGCAAGGAGTTTCATGGATTGGGGGCGGTCCCTTTTCAACATGTAGCTCTCGTCTGAGCGCCTCGCCCTCTCGCCTTAGCAGTTGCAAGAGTTTCACGGATTCCCATGGTCAACGTACCAGAAATGGTTTCGGAAAGACTCAGGATTGTGAGGGCGCAACAATTACATTGATTCGCGGTGCTGACGTCCCAAGACTGGCGTTCTGGCACGATTCAGGACCGTCAAGACGCAACAGTCAGGTTGACTCGTGGCGTTGGAATCCCGAGAATTGTGTTTGGGCACGCTTCAGGGTTTCCAAACAGTTGTCTCCCAACGAAATACTTTCCTCAGTGAAAACGAACCTTTGTAGGGCCTGTGAAGAGGTAGCTTGGAGGGAGGGTTTATTCCAACATAGTTGATGAGCCTTGGACTTACACGGGTACTCATCCTCCTCCTCATCATCATCATCATCCTCATCCTCATCATCATCCTCATCCTCCTCTTCCCTTTTCCTCCTCCTCTCCGTCCTCCCTCCACCTCCTCCTCCTCCTCCTCCTTCCTCATCGAACTTCGTCCTGGAACTCCTTAACTCCTGAACTCCTCATCCTTCCTCTCATCCCCCTCCTCCCCGTCATGCTTCTGTGTTTCTACGTTTGCCAAAGTTCCACAATATACCGTCAGACCAACGCATAAAAAGAGGACAGAAATGGGGGAAGGAAAGCTGAACGATGCCTTAGACAATATTCGACCTTCCTCGCAGCGGAACGCTGTGCCCGAAAACATGTGATCTGGCGTTCGGAGCGCGCCCTTCCTTCAACTGAGGAAGGGACTTGCCAACATTTTCGCTCCGACGCCGTCTGGGGCACGCCCCGGCTATGAGATGCATGCCATGTCCCGCGAAGGCCCCGCAACGAGAGCACCACATATTTGGCACGACGACTCGACCATCTCCTCCACAGTCGGCGAGACGGTTGGTCTTGCCTTGTGATCCGAGGCCATCCTTTACATCTGTAGGACGTCAGGCTAGAATAGGCCTTCCGAAGCCCAGGCGCCGACCGCACATGAACACCCTGCCGTGACGCACAATCATGTGCCCATCAGGCTCGGGCACAAGGATGAGACCGCTGAAGTTCGACCAGCCCTTCTGAGCAGCCGTCTTGGCTACATTTCGAAGGGGGCTAGAACTTGCTCCAAGAAAGCGGCAGAAAACATGCAGAGCCTCTGGGCTTTCTATTGCTGCTTCAAAAACCTGTCCAACATAAACTCAGGGTGAGAGATTTCTTCGGCAGCACCGTTTCGTCGCCTTGTCCGCAACACGTTCTCTTGTCCAGGCCCACAATGGCACTCCCAGTTTCAGAGCCAGCTCTTGTGGGCAGGGACCTGTGTCAGGGTAACGCTGTCGACCCCGAGGCCCTCCGCCTCTCACAAACCTCCTCCCCGAAGTCGGTATACGGCAAACTGGAAATGACTGCACGGGGACCCTGAGCCCACACCTGAATAGCAGCCTCCCAGCCAGTCTCGCATCGTAAGTGATCATCGAGATAGAAAAACGTCGGCACCGTAGATCGTGCCAAGCCCATGCTCCAGCGGCCCTCGGGCACTGGCCAGCACCTGACCAGCACCGTTCACGACCACAGGCGCCCGCGCAGCGCGGCTGAACAGAGGCAGCTCAGGATGGAGGGAGGACTCGTCCGAGCAGGCGTTGCCGCTGATCCAGCCGTGGCGAGAGGGATCACCCAGCGCCAGGGACTGACACCGCGCAGCTTTTGGGTGTACTTAACGAAAGGGGGCTCGAGGCAGCGGGCGAGCAGCCGGTACTGAGGATCACCGCGCTGCCAAGCACGCAAATCAGAAAACTCTGCACCATGCGAAAACGGCCTCCCTTCTCCCCGTGATTGTCCTGGTCCTCCCCCTGATCCTCCGAAGGGTTTTCTCGGCGGGCGGCAGTAAGCTGGGCCTCCCAGGCCTCCTGGGGCCATCATCCTCATCCTCATCGTCATCGTCATCATCATCATCATCATCATCATCATCATCATCATCATCATCATCATCATCATCATCATCATCATCATCATCATCATCATCATCCTCATCCTCATCCTCATCCTCATCCTCATCCTCATCGTCATCGTCATCATCATCATCATCATCATCATCATCATCATCATCATCATCATCATCATCATCATCATCATCATCATCATCATCATCATCATCATCATCATCATCATCATCATCATCATCATCATCATAAGCATCATCATCATCATCATCATCATCATCATCATCATCAGTATCATCACCATCACCATCACCATCACCATCACCATCAGCATCATCAACAACATCAACATCAACATCATCATCATCATCAGCAGCATCATCAGCACCATCATCAGCATCATCAGCATCATCGCCATCATCATCATCAGAATAGTAAGCATCATCACCAGCAGCATCAGCATCAGCATCAGCATCATTATCATCATCATCATCATCATCATCACCATCATCGTCATCGTCATCGTCATCGTGATCATCATCAGCATCAACGCCGTCGTGTCGTATTCGTCGTCATCATATTCATCGTAATCATCATTCGCATTATGATTCCCATCATCACCATCATCATCCTCATCACCGCCCTCTCATCATCAGCACAATCATCTTCATCGTCATCATCATCATCATCAGCATCATCATCATCATCATCAAAATTATCGTCGTCGTCATCGTCATCGTCGCCGTCCTCGTCTTCGTCCTCGTCCTCATTATTGTCCTTGTCGTCGTCCTTGTCCTCGTCATCACCACTACCACCATCACCACCAATGTTATCTTAATCAGCAGCAGCAGCATCACCGGTCTCCTCAGCATAACCACCACCATCTCTATCATTATCAACATTATGATCCTCCTCCTCCCCCTCCTCGCCATCATCATCATCATCATCATCATCATCATCATCATCATCATCATCATCATCATCATAATCAGCACCCTCATCATCAGCATCATCAGCATCATCAGCATCATCACCACCATCAGCACAATCATCAGCATCATCAGCAGCATCATCAGCACCATCACCATCATCATCATCATCATCATCATCATCATCATCATCATCATCAGCATCAGCATCATCATCATCATCATCACAATCAGCATCGATATCATCAGCGTCAGCAGCAGCACCACCACCACCACAAGCATCACCGTCACCATTATCATCATCAGCAGCAGCATCGTCATTATCCTCCTCCTCCTCCTCCTTCTCTTCTCTTCCCCATCCTCTCCCTCACATCATCATCACCACCACCACAATCATCAGCATCATCAGCAGCACCATCATCTACATCATCATCAGCATCAGCATCAGCATTATCAGCATCATCATCAGCATCACCATCATCAGCATAATCATCATCCCCATCCCCATCCCCATCCCCATCCCCATCTCCATCCCCATCCCCATCCACATCCCCATCCTTTTATCATGATCCACCAGCTCTTCTCATCTTCGCCCCTCGTCCTGGATGGCCACGGAGAGGAAGGCGGAAGTAGGAAAGGGGGGAAGTGGAAGGCCTCCGCTTCCCCCCCCCCTTCCCCCTCCCCGCCCTCACCTTGTCAACCCGCCGTATCCCCCCTCCCTCCCTTGTTATGGCATTCTTGAACTCTTGTGGAGCGGTCCCATATAGGCATCAACCTGAGAAAGCAGCGACGCCCACATACCCTCCTGGGTTCCCCCCTACCCTCCCCCAACCTCCCTCCCTTCCAGGACATCGGACGTAGCAATTTTTCCGCAACGCACAGCAGCTCCCCAGAAGTCTGGACCCCTTCCCGGGGACGGGTCTCATCCTGAGTCGTGTTTTGACAGCCCCAAGGCCCAGGAAGTGCCGCCAGAGGCGGGCAACTTCGATATTTACGCGGCGCGAGCACGTCAGGGTCCAGCCTCCCCGCTCCCCATGTCCCCTCCTCCCCCCGCCTCGCCACCCCAATCCACTCCGGTGGGCGCAGACACGGCACCCACCAACGGCCTCCGCGGCCGCGCCGGACCCGAAGAGGCCGGGGCGCCGAGGTGGAGGAGGGGGCCACGGAGCGGCGCGTCCTCGTAGTCCACGAGGCCGTCCGCGTGGATCGGGGGCGGCATGGCGATCAGGCCTGCTCGGCGGAGGAGGGGGGGGGCTGGAGGAAGAGGCGGGAGAGGAGCAGCAGGACGGGGAGCCCGAGGAGCAGCTGAGGGAGCAGCAGGCAGAGCCAGAGGGGCAGGCGAGGAGGAGGCGGGCAGAGAGGAGGAGCGGGAGCAGGAGCCCGAGCCAGGGCCAGAGCGGGAGCCGCAGCTGGAGCTGAAGCAGGAGGCAGGAAGCAGGAGGCACGAGGGGGCGAGGGGGGGGGAGGACGGAGGGCCTCGGACGGCGGAGGAGGCAGGGCGTCGCAGGAGGATGAGGAGGAGGAGGAGGAGGAGGAGGAGGAGGAGGAGGAGGAGGAGGAGGAGGAGGAGGAGGAGGAGGAGGAGGAGGAGGAGGAGAGGGAGGAGGAGGAGGAGGAGGAGGAGGAGGAGGAGGAGGAGGAGGAGGAGGGAGAAAGAGGAGGAGAAAGAGGAGGAGCAGGAGGAGGAAGAGGAGAAAGAGGAGGAAGACGGGGAGCAGCAGCTCCACAAGGAGCAGCAGCAACCTGAAGAGGGGGGGCAAGGGAGGGCGAGGGACAATCGGCGCCATGGCTTGCAGCTATCAGGGCTGTCACGCGGTGCGCCAAGCCTCAAAAAAACTGTCCGAGCTGCCGGCTGCCGGCGCTGGAGGGGGGAACCAGGAGGACGAGGAGTAGGAAGCCGCGGCCTGCGTGTCGTGGACCGACGCCGATGCGCGGGCGGCACACGAGCGCCGCCCGCTGGCATCATGCGGCGGCAGGGCCGGCTCACGACAGGTTGCCGACCCAGACCTGCCAGAGGAGGCGCCCCGCCCACGCCGCAGCGGGGTGCTCAGAGCGGCGGCGGGTCGTAGCTCATGAAGCCCACCGGCGGGTAGACATTCGGGGGCAGGCCGCCTGGGCTCTTGGGCATCGGCACGCCGGGGAAGAGCTCGAGGCCGTCGAAGCTCCCGGCCCCGTTCGCCACGCCGCTCGCGCTCGGGGTCCCGAAGAATGGGCCGTAGTCGCCGGTGGCCATGTCCTGGAACACGAGGCCGAAGAAGGCGACCATGGCCAGGCGGCCGTTGTTCAGCTCGAATAGCTGCCTCTCCTTCCACTCCGGCTGGTTCTGATCCGCCACCAGCGTGGGTGTCCAGCCGACGAGGTCCCAGGGCGCCTCCTTCGGCGGCTTGCAAACGTAGAGGAAGAGCCACTCCGTGACCATAATGGTGAACACGACCTGGAAAGCGCCTCCGATTGGCAGCTGAGTGTAATTGATCAAAGGATCGTCCGAGACGCGCATGCGCGCGGCCGCGTCACCGACGGGGTGCCAGCCGGTCGCCACGTGGAACCAGCCCAGCACCGCGAGCATGGCCACGCGAGCGTGCTTCAGCTCCACGGCGCGCCAGTGCAGCAGCTGCTCCTCGCTCTTGCCCTCCATGAGGTTCAGCGGGTCCCAGACGTCGTCGGGGAACGGCCCCCCGGTGCCCCGCAGGGCCATCGGGAGCTTCGCCTGGGCGCTCCCGGCTGGCGGGGGCAGCGCTGGCATGGGCATCGACTCCCCGTCGTCCAGATACTCTGGGCGCGGGGACATGTTCGTCTTCGGCTTCATCCCCTCGCCGTACGACACCTGGGGGAGCAGAGAGAGCATCAACGACACGCCGCCGCCAGGAGCCCGTCAGCGTATTGCTGCCGAAGACGCGCCAGGCCTTCGGACACAAACGACGGAGCAGCACGCTGGCAGGCTCCCCACGGCGGCGTGTCATCGATACACGTCGGTCGGAAGAAGCAGGTAAAACCATGAAGTAGGAAGGCGGACCTAGTAGACTGGGTTCAAGCCCTCCCAGAGAATAACAACAAACAGCAAAAACGGATCTATGCTTGAAGTAGCAAGGCACTTGAAGTAGATTGGGATCTGGGATTCCAAAGATACCTACTTTCAACGACCGGCGTGTACTCTTTCACCTCCCGCACACCTGATCAGGGGTGCCCCGCGCCGTCGCGCTGGCGCCGAGCCACATCTCTGGGCCGGTAGTGCCGACGGTGCCGTTCTGGAACATCAGGCCCATGATGGCGACCATCGCGAGGCGGCCGTTCGCGATCTCCGCGTTCAGCTTCTGCTTGCGCACCTCGGGGTCCTTGATGGACGGGGCGTTGGGGATGCCGAAGGGACCGAACTCGTAGCCGCTGTTGTTGACACCGCCCGCGATGCTCTTGTTCCTGATCTCGGTCAAGGCGATGACGAGACGGGAGCTGAGCTTGCCTGGCAGCTTGGTGGGGTCCTGGTACGCCGCGAACAATTCCATGGACAGGCCGAAGAGAACGATCTGAAACCACCCCACGGCCGGCACCCGCGTGATGGCATCGAGCCCGTGCGGGACGTCGGCGAACTTGATGCCGTCGGAGGGGCTGAGGTAGCCAGGCCACTTGAAATACTCAGGCACGATGTCAGGGGGAGGAAGCACGGCATGAGCATGAAATTTCGGAGCTCCACGCGCATTTCTCGGATCGGCGCTGGACCTCCCTCCCTGGCGCGCGGTGCGCGCCAGGAGCGGCGCCGGAGGCGCCCTCGGGAAAGCCCAGCGCAGATGACAAAATCCGCGCGGAGTACCGAACGCCTGTGCTTGTGCCATGTTTTCTTCCTCGCGATGTAGCCGATGCAGGCGATCATGCTGACGCGGCCGTGCTTGATCTCGACGCAGCGGCGGCGGTAGAACTCCTGCGCGTCGCCGTCCGAGCAGTAGCCCGCGGGGTCCCAGAAGCCGGTGGGCGGCTGGACGCCGAGCTCGTTCTCGAAGGCGCGCAGGGCCGGGGCGGCTGCAGGATTCCTATGGCACGCCCGAAATGGTTAGGGACAAAAGGTTAGCTACCTACCAAACCACCCCAACCCAACCCGAAGACCCGAAGATCCGAATTTCGGGCTGGGGGGGTATACGGGCTTCAAATGTGTTTTGTTCCATGTTCCCCGGCCCCCCACACACACACACACACACACACACACACACACACACACACACACACACACACGCACACACACACACACACACACACACTGGAAATGGAGGGCAAATCGGGGCCTTCGGGTTGGGTTTGGGTGGTTTGGTGGGCGATGCAAGGTGGGCACGATGCCCAAAACATCTATCCGGATGACGCCAAGTAGGTCGCGACGGCACACGTCTTCCTGCGCCTTCTGCCCCCTGAGGCCGTTCCCCGGCCCCGGGACCGCCAGAGAACGGCCCAGGTTAAAAACCTGGCCCTGGGCAAATGTTCAGCACGTGTGACGCCGACGTCACGACGTGATTACATCGTCGGAGGAGAGGGAGCAGCAACTGTTGTCCAAAACCGACAGCGGCCGCTGCTGTGCAGGCAGCCCTTCACATCAAACGGACAGCGTCCGGCGACGCCAGCAGCGTGTTCCGCTCAAGATGTGCAGGAACTGCTGTCGGTGGGGGGACCAAAAAAATATGGATACCGCAACTCCCAAGACATCTCCCGGGGCGCGTTCTGTCAAGCATTCCGAATCGAATCCAGCCGTGGCGACGAGGGGCCTCCAGGAAAAGCAGCAGCATCAGTACCTCTTCTTCCTCCGAGTCGGTCTTTGCTCCCACTCTTCCCACACAGTCAAAACATGGCCACGAGAACGTGGAAACAAAATTCTGCTGGCAGCCACTTGGATCCAAACAGCAGTGAGGCAACGGTGGGATGCAACGAAGCAAACTACGGGGCGGACAGGAGAAAAATTCGTTCTCCGGTTGAACGACTCGTTTCCCAGTTGAACGATTCGCTCCCCGGCGGAAGTTCGAAGTGTTTTCTCCGTATATTAAAATTATGAGAGGGTTCTCGGCGGCCGCAAAGAAGGTTCTTGGCGGCCCCTGAGAGGGTTCTTGGCGGCCCCTGAGGGGGTTCTTAGCGGCCCCTGAAAGGGTTGTTGGCGGCCCCTAAAACTGTTCTTGGCGGCCCCTGAGAAGACTCTTGGCGGCCCCTGAGGGGGTTCTTGGCGTCCCCTGGGAGTTCTCTTGGCGGCCCCTGGGGAGGTTCTTGGCGGCCCTGAGAGGGTTCTTGGCGGCCCCTGAGGGTTTTTGGCGGCCCCCAAAAGGTTCTTGGGGCGTTTGGGCGGCCCCTGAAAGGGTTCTTGGCGGCTGGCCCCCACTAAGGTTCTTGGCGGCCACTGGGAGGGTTCTTGGCCCCTGAAAGGGTTTTTGGCGGCCCCCCAGCAAGTTCTCGGCACCCCCTACGAAAGTTTTTTGGCGGCCCCTGAGAAGGTCCTTCGCGGCCCCTGGGAGGGTTCTTGGCGGCCCCTGAGAGGGTTCTCGCCGGCCCCTGAGAGGGTTCTTGACGGCCCCCAAGAAGGTTTTTGGCGGCCCCAAGAAGGTGCTTGGCGGCCCCCAAGAAGGCTCTCGGCGGCCCCTGAGAGGTTTGTTTGGCGGCCCCTGAAAAGGGCTCTCGGCGGCCCCCAAGAAGGTTCTTGGCGGCCCCCAAGAAGGTTCTTGGCGGCCCCCAAGAAGGTTCTTGGCGGCCCCCAAGAAGTTGCTTGGCCGCCTCCAAGAAGGCTCTCGGCGGCCCCTGAGAAGTTTGTTTGGCGGCCCCAAGACGCCTCTTGGCGGCCCCCAAGAAGGTTCTTGGCGGCCCCTGAGATTCAGAGGTTTGTTTGGCGGTCCCTAAGACGCCTCGTGGCGGCCCCTGAGAGGAAACTTGGCGGCCCCTGAGCGTTCTTGACCCTTGGCGACCACTGAGAGGCTTCGTGGCGGCCCCTGAGTGGGTTCTTGGCGGCGTATGGGAAGGTTTTGGCTGTCCTCGAGAGGGTGCTGGGCGGCCTCTGAAAGGGTTCGGGCGGCCTCTGAGAGAGTTGTTGGCAGCCCCTGGGAGCGTTTTGGGTGGCATCTGAGAGCGTTCTGAGCGGCCCCGGAGAGGGTTCTTGGCGTCTCATAGGAGGTCTCTTGGAGGCCCCTGATAGGCCGCGGCCCCTGACAAAAAAATGTTCTTGGCAGCCCCTGAGAGGCCTCTTCACGGCCCCTGAGAGCGTTCTTGGGGGGCCC